TTCATAAATCGCATGCGCGTTAGAATCGAGTACGAAAAAAAAATGAATGCGTTCATTCTATTGCCATCGGCATTTTAAAAATGGCCGCCCCCTACGTGCGTCGGCATAGCGCGTTGGCCATTTCTGCCTATGTGTTTCCCATGTGCGACACTTCGTACGTGTGCTGAGGAGTTCGTCATCTTGTAGTGCATTTGCATCGACGGCATGGAAGGGCCGACTCCAAAAACTCGAGTGCCCCACGATGCAGCTTTTAAAAGAAAAGTCATCGCGTGTGCAGTAACGGACGCAAATCGGGCCGCATCGCGGTCGTTCGGAGTTCCTGAAACGTGCGTGCGGGACTGGCGGAAACAAAAGCAGAAGATTGTCGACAGCAAAGCTTCACGCAAAGGCTTCAGTGGACTACAGCAGGGTCGGTTTTCACAAATTGAAGAGCTGCTAGCGAGTATGTGCGTGAGCAGCGAGCGGCACAGCGGCCCGTGACGACAGAACTGCTCCAAGTGCGGGCTATGCAGTTAGCCTTAGAAAAAGGGCTAATGCGGAGCCAGTTTAAAGCGAGCAGGTGCTGGCTAACTAACTTTATGAAGAGGAAAGGCTTTTTCCTCCGAAGGTGAACGGGCATATGCGAAAAGTTTTGCGGAGGAGTACAATGAAAAGCTTCGCAGTTTTCAGAGGTTCATCCTAAATTTGCGGCACAACAACGGCTACCTGCTTGGGCAGATCGGGCATGCCGATCAGACACCTCTTTACTTCGACATGCCTGGCACCACAACCGTCGAGAAGAAGGGGGCGAAGCAAGTTCGCGTGCTGACATCTGTTCACGGTAAAACTACAGTGACGGCAATGCTCTGTTACACGTCAGATGGGCACAAGCTTTCCCCGTACCTTTTATTAAAATGGAAGACGCTCCCGAAGAAGTTAATTTTTCAAGTGGTGTGATCGTGCGGGCCAGCGAAAAAAATGGGTGCGCGTCTCAATCGATGTCTTACCTTTTTTTTTTTTTCGTCGTGGAAATCGGGTGCGCGTTACGATCGAGGGCGCAGTAGAATCGAGTAAATACGGTAATTTCTTAAGAGTGGACTCTTAACTAAGGAAGGCTGCCTGCAGCTCGGTCGGAGGGCATTGATTCTTTGTCAGAATAATCCACTGCCTTTGTCCATATAGTAACGTCATCGACATAGATGGCCAATCTAGCCGGGGTGTCCCATTCAAGGTTTTCTGCTACCCTGCTCATGGCCAGATTAAACAGCATTCGTCCTAAAATAGATACCTGTGGAACACCTGTGTCCAAGTAGTAAGTCTTCGGGCTCCATCCAGGTGATGCACCGCTTAAGCGAATGGACCGAGCTGCAAGGAAATTCCGAATCCGTGTCTGCGCACGCTGACTTAGGTAGTGCTTAGCTAGTTCTTCAAGAATGGCGTTATGGTGAACATTATCGAACGCTTTCTGCATGTTGACTGCCAGCAAGTAGTCAGGTAACATCTTTCTTGAGGTACGATTGATAACGCCCCGTAGCAGCCAAAGGCAGTCATGCGTGCCAAGGTTAGGGCGAAAACCCGCCAGAGCTGGATGGTATCCTGGCCGGGTTATCTCGAGGTAATGGGACATGCGTGTGTGAATCATGCGATCAATGAGCTTACAGAAAGTAGACGTTAAGGATATTGGCCGGAGGTTCTTGCAAAGGGTCTTCTTTTTTTCCATGTTTTAGAATAGGATAAATGAGAGACAGCTTAAGGTTCTCCGGAACATTTCCCGAGGCCCAGAGGTCATTGATTACCGCCAAAAGTGCGTCCTGGGCTTCATCTTCGATGTTGCGAAATTCTTGCCATGTTATTCGGTCGTGGCCAGGCGCCGATCGAGGACGCCCGTGTTTGATGGCTGCTAGCATTTCTCCCATGCTAAATGAGCAATCGAGATTCGGATCGGGTTGCGTTACGGTGCAGGCTTTCGGAGATCCAGGTGGAGTGAGTGAAGCGTGAGGAAAGAAAGAAGTAATAACTTAGTCTTCTACAACTGACGGATCTGCTTTGAGGAACAGCTCGGCCAGAGGAGGGTTGCCCTTTCCTTTCCCGCTGACGCTACGAAAAGTGCGCCATAGACCTTGGAGGCCCGGTACACAGCCAGCCAAGGCGCTCGCAGGTGGATTGCCAGGCTTCACTTTGAAGTTGGAGCTAATATTCATTGATAAGCTTAAATTGGCCCTTAATTTTCATGAGGTCAGAGTGTTGTTTGCCGTGCGAGCGGTATCTTCTGACAAAATAGTCTGCTGTTTTCCATAAATTGCCTAAATGGTTATCCATCGGTTGAGTATGGTTTTCGCATGGCACTGTTTCGCGTGCCAGCTTACGGGCCTGTTGAACAATGTCGAGAGGCCCTCAACTGTCGAGAAGGATCCAGTAACATTCCTACAAAAAGCATTCCAATTAGTCGTTGTTGTTGTTTTGATCCGGGGGCATTTTCGATAAAGTGCCACGAATATCGGGAGATGATCACTGCCCCATGACTGGCTGGAGATTCCAGTGCCGTACGAATTGGGGGCTGGCGAGGGTAAGATCTGGGGTCTTGTCTCTCTGCGCTCTATGTAGTCCTATTCTTGTAGGGGTGTCGGGGGTGTTACAAATTTCTGCAGAAGAGCGTTCAATAGCGTTGTAAAAATATTGTCCGCGTTTATTCGGCTTTCGGGCACCCCAGGCAGGGTGATGAGCATTAAAATCACCTATGAGCTGAGGGAGGTTCTTAGATGCTTGCTTAAGCGTCTCCAGCCATGTGTATTGTCCAACTGAAATATTTCCTGGGCGAAAATACGCAGACACGACCACGAAGGGCTTTTGGCCAGGAGGACAAATTTTAACAGCTACTATTTCACGACCAATTGAGTGGCCGGGTAGTCATTACGCACCAGAAGCGCTGCCTGGCCTTTGGGAAGCTACCGCTTATGTTTGACCGTTGGTGTCTGAAACGCATGGTAACCAGGAAGCGGGCATGTACTGCGCATCTCCTGGAGAAGAAGGAACAAGGGGCGATGTCTTTGAACATAATTACGGATAGTGGAGCGTGTTTGGTTCAAACTACGACGATTCCACTGCACCCCCTAAGCGAAACAGCTCATGAGAAAGGCCCTGATTTGCGGCGTTTATTGTCATCAGCGAGGACATTGCGCTGCAGTTCATCAAACATATTTTGCAACTGAGTTTGCATGGTATTAAGGGCTTGTGTTAGTGTTAACCATCTCTGACCGAATCGCATGCTCCAGCTTATTAGATTCTTGAGCCCGTTCTTGTCATAGGAGCCCAATAATATGAGAGTAAGCGGAGTCCTTGTCCGTGTCCGGTTCGGAACAACGTGTCGGAGAACGGCTCTTTTTTTTTTTTCGAGACCGACTGCGGTTTTGGGTTGGGGACCGGATTCCTTTCTGTTGGTCCAGCATGAGGTCGCAAAGTCTCAGATTTTCCTGCCTTAAGTCCTTGTACTTCTTGGCGAAGGCTGTTTATAAGCCGAGTCAGATTGGAAGAAGCGTGTATTTGAGCCCAGGTTACTTTCTGAGGCATCAGAGGTAGGCTGTGTGGCAGATGTTGTAGATGATAAATCATTAGTGTTGCGAGGAAGGGCTGATTCAGATATATTTCATTCAGGACAATGAGGGATGAGTGAAATGTGTGTGGACGCTCCACAAGCCTCGCAATGAGGAAAGTGCTTACAGTTTGGGTCGACCTTATGCGGAGCCTTGCCACAGTCCCGGCATACTGGCGGGAAAGAAACAGTATTTGGCAACATGGCCCAAACGATGACAGGTGTAGCATGCGACCGGGCGAGCCCGATATTCGTGAACACGGATGACTTCATATTCAAACACCAAGTGTTTTCGTATGGAGTCTGTATCAAATGTCAAAAGCAGCAGCTGTGTTTTACCGAGCATGCGCACATCAGTGATTGTTGCCTGTTCATAGCGCAGATGCGCTTTTATGTACTCAATTGTTAGGCCGGGTCTGATCTTTATTACCCCCTGAGAGCTGCCCACTACATGTGGCTGAAGAGGCGATGTGTCGACATCAATTACTCGCACGCTACCATTGACTGTTACCACTAAGTGCGAGAGTCTGCGTAGTTTGCGAAAATGACCTTTGTCACAAAGTGTGATCCGTACACAGTTACTGATTATGTCAAAGCGGATGATTGACATTTCTGCAATAAAATTTGGTGGAGCGCTTTGCTCTATGACGTCTGTAAGGGCTTGTTTCGGAATGTCTGTCACACTTTGTTTAGCGGCCTGATCAAAACAGTATAGCAGGGCCGACTCACCCGTTCGGCGTGCAGTGTGTTCGGTGACACTTGGTGTCGGTAGTACACGGCATTATTCTTTTGTACCCCGTTGTCGAGAAGTTCAGTGGTGACGGTAGAAGAGCCCGCTGCCATGTCGTTGACACTAGGTCCGGTAGATGATTCTGATGACAACGCAGGCTGCGTTGCATCCATTGTCTCGTTTCTGTCAGATAGGGTTGGGAAATCGCTTGAGTTCACTAAAACGCTTGTGCATACCGTGGTCGTTTTCATAGTAGGCGTCTCGAGATTCGGAGTGAAACGCGCCGGCGGTAACAGGTTCGCACCGCGGCCGCCGGCAGCTGTGCCCTAGGTCAGTCCGAAGCTGCTCACTAGGCTTGGGGTGGTCAGTTCACAAAACACAGAGAAAAGAGAAAAGGGTTCTCCAAAAACACTGTCTGTGCGACACAGGCTCACCGTGTAACTGGTATTCACTTCTGCGGCAACGAATCGTGGTCTATCAGCGGAAAAAACTAGTCAAACTGACCAGAAAACAAGGAGCTGAGGTCAGGCACGTCTGCCATCGTAAGCACTCAGCAGCACCCCCCCCCCCCCCTCGGTTTAAGTAGTGAATAAAGAGGGATTCATGTGCATGATAAATGTGAAAATATATTTCTCTGCAGCTCACGATTCGTACTTCATTGTGGGGACAGGGTTGCACATATACTCTTTTTTTTTTTCGTAGGTAAAGGATGCATCTACTCCTATGACCCTGTCGGTCATTCTGAAAGAGTGCAGTACAGAGCAGGAGGCTCCTCTAGTGCCTTACTCCAGCCGCTCTTGGACAACCAAGTGAGCCTCTTTTTATCTTTCCTCGATTCCTATTAGATTCATTGTTGTGAAATGTTTTTAACTGTGATTTATGAGCATTTGACTATCTTTTGGTGCATGTATTTATTTTTTGCCAGATTGGTTTCATGAACATGGAAAATGTGAAGCCAGAGCCACCAACTCGAGAACGAGCTGTAAACATTATCAAAGATGTCTTCATTTCTGCTGCTGAAAGAGACATCTACACTGGAGACTCCATTGTCATCCATATCATTGACAAGGATGGCATCAAAGAGGATAGACTGGCACTCCGCAGAGACTGAGCCGTTGTAATTTGTCTTACGTGGCAGCAGATATTCCTTTTTCAAGTTGGTATGTTGCTTGCATTAAAGAAAAAATTGTGACTGTGCTGTTGATTACTGAACCTCTCAGTGTAGCCAGGATATTTCGGGGGAGGGTACAACTTTTATTTGTGCATGTTCATCTTTGTGTGTGCATGTATGTACATGCATGCACAGACTGCAAAAATTTTGGATGCAACTCGAAACCTCCCCCGAACTCTCCCAAATGGCTACACCAATCACTCAACTTTACAGTGCTGTTTCAAATATGCACATCCAGGTACTGCTACTGGATATGTGTAGTAAAAACATACCAATTGAGGTGGGTAAAAATAAGCAGCATTTGCATGAAAAGGGTGTCCCAATTTTTTTTTTCTCAGAATAGTCATTTATCTATCCTTTCCTTGCATTATCGCTGTGCACCCAGTGCTTCCACATCCCGAACGGCATGCGCATTATTAGTCTGACATTGCATTCCTAATGGGAAAGTGGCAAGCACAGAGTCGTCTAGAAATACGAGCAAGCCAGACGATTATTATTGTTTAATAAAAAGGCATTCTTTTTACATGCATTTTTTTTAGCAGTGAAGCTGTTCTTAGTAGAACCATGTGCGAGGGCTGTCGCAGATCGTAGTGGCATTTACCCAAAGAAAGTGGGTAAGTTCCACGCCGAGTATGTGCCACTCCTCTCGCCATGCCCACTAGTACTCTCACCACTACGCTATAGTCCCTCAATACTTCTTTGAAAAAAGTATTGAAGGACTATGATTACGCTTACGACTGCTTCTGCCACTGCTCCCACTTTGTTCACCCACTTCATTCAACCTCGCTGCGTGCCACCAGGTTTGCTGTTTCATCGGTGGCCACCAAGTGGAGCTGACACTTTTTCAGTGTATTTAACAAGATTATTGGATAGGTGTGGGGAAGACTCGTACGTATGCTGCTCTCTAAATATCGTCAACAAACGGACATGCTGATTGCATCGCATTACCTGGAAATGAAATGGAGGAAGTTTTGAAAAATCATTGCAGTGCAGTGTTCAACAAATGTGCTGCTTTAAACCTGTTTTGTGGGGCTGGTTGGCGTGACATTAAAATGAAGATGAGTGCTGAATTGGCATGGAAAGAATGTACTGCATGGATGTTACTAAAGAATTCATTACTGTTGATCAGATGCACTTACAGTACAGGTATGCTAATCTTTAATCAGCTTTACAGACTCCCCTTCCCGGCTTGCCGGTTTCTATCAATCGCATAAACATAAGTGCAACAACCTTCTGTGGTTTGTGAATGTTGCAGTATATTTTAATCAAGATCACATACAGAGAGTTTCCAGAAATGTGTTGGAAGATCCTCTAAAGTAAAAGTGCGATATTTGCTCACCAACTTAGGCATTACTTTCTGTGATAACAGACATCTGAACATGACCAATGAAATCAATTATGACAACAGTTAAGTAAATTAAAGGCAACAGAAAGTCTAGTTGGATGGGAGAATCGTACTACGTCCTGCGAAGACACCAATGTCATTTTGAGATTTACTAATAGCAGGCACTGGTAGCTTCTGTAAAATGATGAATTGCTTATTTGGCTGGCAAAACTGATTAGCGATGACAGGGTTCTCTGGAACAATGAATGAGCTTGAGAAAAATGTCTCGTTTCAAGTGTTTTAATTGTGGTCGACGTTTTTTCTTTTACAACGCCTCCTCCCAACCAGACAGGATTCCATCAAACCCTCGATTTCATCCCAGCGTCTATATACACTCTGCTACTTTTGTTCTGCATCTGTTGTGGCTTTGTTTGCACTGTTTAGCCAAGGATGTTCAGTTTTGAGTGTGCCAGAAGGGAGATGTTTGGTCATTCGTGCTTGACGTAAGCGCTGATCTTTTTTTTTTTCCACCATATATTGAGCTATCTTTGCACCACCAAATGTATCTCGTGTGCTTATTTTGCAGTCAGTGTCATAACAAGGTATGCGAATCCTGGAGGCAGGGTGACATGTTCATTTACTCAGTGTTCCAAAAGCTGACTCATGTTCTGGGGCATGTTCATTGTCTACAGCAAATTACAGCTCTACAAAAAGCACCTCGACTGGACTCACTTGGATGCTGACTGTCTAAAGTTTCCCTTAAGGAGACTCACTCTCCTAAATTTTCCTCAGTTGGACTCGCTCAAACTCGCGGCTGGCTCGACCTGAATCTGAGCGAGCCTACTTATGAGTGAGCTTGCCAGCCTATAAACTTGCACTTCTAGTAGACTAGCACGAGTGTTGCATTGGGCATGCCTAGGTTATGTCTGGTGCTGTATGAATAAAACTAGTCTGCCTGAGTTTCATTACAGTCTTCTTATCTCAAGGTACTATGCTACCAGTGATGTTCAATTTTGTGTTACATATGTAGTTCAATGGATAGATGCCAAAGTTTGTTAGTCCTGAGGTGCATAATTTAATGTGCATCGGGGTGCTCCCACGTTGGTACAGTCAGGCCAAGCCCAACCGCCACATCATGGGCCCTCTGGATAGTCCTCAGTTGAGCCCTGACATTGGGGTTCTTGATAGCGGATAGCCACTTGTATTCATTGGATTGGTCTATTGTCCATAATGAAAGGCAGTGCCAGAGCATGTTTTTTGGTCTAAGCTAGCTAATTTATTGCAGTGCCTGCAAGAGCTATTGGGATATTTCTCTAGATAAATTTAATGCAATAAAGCCGGGCTGGAATACGAACCCATCTGCAAGAGTCTACGTGCGTTTTCAATTGCTCACTTTGTTTTGCCTTAGTATTATCCAACACTGTTTTAACTTAAGAATTATGCGAAACATTCCAATCTCGAAATGTAACTGGAATGCGTTCCTTTTGCATTAAAAAAATGCATCATGGAAATTTGTGTCTAATTTAGGAAGGCACCAAAGATTTCGCTTCTGTATTACGGTAACGTGTACAACGCTGCACTTGTTTACGCAAACTGACTTTATTGTATAGTTATAACCAGCACTGAACTGCTATGTTCCACTAAGCTTGCACAAAGCAGATGCATCTCCACATTGCATTAGTGTGTAACTTCTTGCTGCACTATTAAGTTTGTGCTTTACATTTGCATGGAGCCCTGGGGAAGATCCCTCCCCTGTGCACACACCTATGATTATGAGATATGTGCAGTGGAAGTCATATGGACGTGAAAATATCATTTGAGCATTGTCCTGAAACACTTGCTAGAGGTTATTTGAAGCTTCTGGAATGTGAATACACTTATTAACTGCTATTAAAAGGTGAATTTGCAGAACGCAATAATTTACGGATTTTGAATACCTTCTACCGAAAACGAGGAAACTGTAAGTAAACATGGAGGAGCCCTAATGACGAAAATAAAAACGAAATAGACTTTATTATGAGTGCACACCCAGGAATCCTGCAGGATGTGGAAGTGGTTGGCAAGGTACAATGCAGTGACCATAGAATGGTACGGTCTCGAATTCGCCTAGACCTGAAGAAGGAACGACAGAAACTGATACGCAAGAAGCCAATCAATGAGCTAGCACTGAGAAGAAAAGTACAAGAATTCAGAGTCTTGCTTCCGAACAGGTACTGGGTTCTTAGTGAGGAAACCAACCTTAGCGTAGATACAATGAATGATAATCTGACGAGTATCATTACGGAGTGTTCAGTGGAAGCTGGAGATAGGGTAGTTAGACGGGACACTGGCAAGCTTTCAGAGGAAATGAATAATCTCATTAAGCATCAAATCATAAAAGTCTCAAGTATAACAGACAAAATAGACCTGACAGAGCTTTCGAAGTTGATTAATAGGCGTAAGGTATGCGATGTAAGAAGGTATAACATGGAGAGAATTGAACACGCTCTGAAAAACGGAGGAAGCGTCAAAGCAGTGAAGAGGAAACTTGGGATAGGCAAAATTCGGATGTATGCACTAAGGGACAAAGAAGGAAAAATAACTACCAATATGGATAGGATAGTTAAAATAGCGGAGGAGTTTTACAGAGATCTGTACAGTAGCCGAGACAACCACGACCTTAATACTATAAGAACTAGCAGTAACCCAGATGACACCCCACCAGTAATGATAGAAGTCAGAAAAGCTTTGGAGAGCATGCAAAGAGGCAAAGCTGCTGGTGATGTTCAGGTAACATCAGGTCTGCTGAAAGATGGAGGACAGATTGTGTTAGAAAAACTAGCCACCCTGTTTACAAGGTGTCTCCCGGCGGGAAGAGTACCAGAGTCTTGTAAGAACGCTAACATCATCTTAATACATAAGAAAGGAGATGACAAGGACTTGAAGAATTACATGAAAATGTTCGTACCTGTTGTGAGAAGACTGTCGAGGAAATGATTGCCGAAGTGCAAGACGAGGATCAACCTTCCGGTGATGAATGTGGTTTCAATATTGCCAGTGCAGTGGTGCCACCAGACCAATCAGCTAAGGAGGCTGTTGAACTTTTGCAGTGCTATTCTGAGCATGAGGCTTGTCCAGAATTTCTGATTGGTTTGTTAGGCATGGGTGCGTACCTTGTGAAAAAACAACTCAAGTTTGCCAAACAAACCACCCTTCACTCCTTTTTTTTTCTCCTACTCATCCTCAAGAGTAAAATGAGGTTTGTGCAATTTGAATAAAGTTTTTGATTCACTAAATAAGTGTACTTTGCTTAAATGCAACTTCTGATAAATGGAAGAGTTTTATGGATCCTCTTCGAGTTCCGTTTAAGAGGAGTCGACTGTACAGTGAAAGCTGGTCCATTCAGATTTCGTGGGGCCAAGAAAAAAATGTCCGAATCAACTGAATGCTGATTCATCAAAAGTATTAACAAATGTTTGCTACATCAATACATTTTTATTTTCTTGATGAATACATAAACCCTCAAAGGTGGTCGAAATTTCTGGAGCCCTCCACTACGGCGCGTCTCATAATCAAATGGTGGTTTTGGAACGTTAAACCCCACATATCTATCTACATAAACCCTCTACTTATTTTGAATAAGAGAGTAACAGCCACAATTTTTGTCATCCTGCGACTTAATTAAAGCCGTTCTTTGAAGGGACACTAAAGGCAAATAT